GATAATTGACCTTTATACCGCCTACAATTAATTGTTGGCGTACTATTGATCTTCTTATTATTATACTAAGAACATTGACACCTCTATTTCTAACCTATAAGCCATGTTTTGGGCTTCATTCGCAGTATAATTAAGTTTTTTTAAGGGCGAGACGCCAAATTACATTTTCGGCTCTGGGATAGCGGCCGCAAATGATGTAGCCGTCGTAAGAGCAGGAAGCGGGCTGGGCCTGAGATGCCCACGACGTCAAGCTCGATCGCGCTGTTCATCGATAATCGCGGATCCAACTGTCTGGCACGCTCTGGCCCGAGAAAGCACCGGGTATCTAACAATACGCACCCCGCAGTCTGCTGTACGAGTAAACTGTCTCCAGTATTCTAAATTCAAGGCACGATACTCGTCTATCCTAAGCTCTTTCAGATAAGCTCTGATACTATCCACTCACCTCATCTTTGGCTCCAGCGATCTCCAGAGACGCTGTCACTCTTGTGATGTGAATCTCCTCTCTTCTACTCATACGCTCGTACCATCGCACCGTTCTTCCTGCATCTTCGTAACGATGAAAGCAACTTTCATCCTTGCTCGATCTATGTCGCTATAGACCTAGTAGGGTGACATCCATGCCCACCGCAAAATTCACTGACGCTCGAAGTTGTGTTCCAAGTACTCTTTCGAAGATCTTTAGAGTGTTGGTCGTCAGTGGAGTTGGCTAATATGTTGAACAGTCAGCGATACTGCCTTTATTCTTCCATATCGGTCGTTGCGCTCTTTGACCAATCATGACCATCATTCGTTTGGTATGTCATCTGGACCAGAAGCCTTGTCGTTCTTTGTCTTTGTTATAGCTTCCACAGCTGCTTTGAGTGGCGCTGGCCCAATCATTGGGTCAGCTGGTGGGATGGTTGCGTCAGCGCTTGTAACGACATTTATTTGTAGTACATCCGCCATCTCACGGTTATATTCTGTATTATTCACCTCACAATTATATCTTACATTAACTTTTTTCCAAGCTTGTCTTTGACGTGGTAGAATTGTTTCATATCTTTTGCGGACTCTGCCCTCCCTCGCGCTATTCGGTATATATCTAACTCTCCCTCGCGAGATTCCAATTTCCTATACAGCTCTTCTATGTAGACCTTCTTCGCTTTCTTGACACATGTTTTTGCAGCGTGTTCCATTTTTAGGTACAACTCTCGATCTCTTTCCGATTTCGACCTACGCTAATGCTTGTATGTCTGACTCTTTTCCTCT